AGCGCCCCCAGGTCACGAAATTGGACGGAGGAGGTTATTACGAGCGAGCGAGCGCAGCGAGCGAAGCGAGTCTTTCAGTGGCGTATCCAGGATCTTGAAAAGGGGGAGGCCAAACCTGCTCAAGGGGCCCCACCCTTACCTTAGGGGCCCCAGTGATAGCATACTTATCCCACGCACAGGTGCGGTTCTTTGCCACTTTCGCCATGTGAGGGAGCCCTTTTAGGCACACTTGGCAATCTAAAAACTCTGAAGGCTCATTCTGGCCTCTGAAAGCCCCTGTTCGGCAACAGAGTAAACGACTCTAGCTTCAGCTGGCCCTATAATGGCCTCAGGAGACCCATGCTATTGCTGACCTTCCAGAGCCTCACGCTGGCTCTTGGGAGCCTTTGAGTCAGTCTGATGGCCCTATGCCGCTCTCGAACCCACGCCGGTCCCTAGAAGCCCATGCTGCCCTCTGAGGGTTCCGCGCCGGCTTCTAAGGGCCACTCCTACCTCAGGGGGCTCAAACATGCATAAGATCTGAAGTATGGCTGCCGAGGCCCTCGAAGTGGCCTCTAATGGCCCGACGCCAGCCTATGAAGGCCCCGTGCTGGCTTCTTAGGGCCCAGCACCAGCGTCTGAAGTCTTATGACAGCTGGTCCCACGCTGGCCTCAGAGGGTTCACGCTGGTCACAGAGGGCCTCACACTGGCCTCAGATTGCTCCACATTGTCTTCAGAGGGCCCCAAGCTGGTCTCAGCGGCCAGTGGACCTCAATCTGACTTCAGAAGGCCCCACGCCGCTGGGTTTAGAAGACCCCAAGCTGGACATAGACAGCCCCACACTGAACATGAGGGTCCCACACTGGCCCTTCTGGAGATAAGTGTGGTTACATAAGAGCCCATGACGTGTTCTCAAAAGCCCCGTGGTGTCCTTTCACTCCTTTCCAGTTGAAGCGTGGCCAGCGCGGACCCTCTGATGTCAATTGGCACCGTAGGGCCCCTTTGGGCCCGAGGGGACCCTAAACCATATAACCGACACGTGTCCCCTCTCTTCCTGGCTATGCCATTAAATCCAAGTGATCAGGGGCCTCTCAGGTGACTGCAGGGGCTTTTAATTGATCAGGGGCCCACCAGGTTACCGTGACCAGGGGACCCTCTGATAATCAGGAGCCGGTTATACCAGGGGCTCCTCGGGCAACTATGGGCCTTCATGTGACTGCAGAGGCCCTTCAGATAACCAGGTACTCCCCGGGTAAGCATGAGCCCCTCAGGTGACCAGGGCTTCTTCAGATGACTGGCCAGGGGCCATCCAGGGGATCAGGGGCCCCTTGGGTAACTACGGGTCCCTCAGATAACCAGAGGTCCCTCAGGTAATCGGAGGCCCTCGGGTAACCAGGGGCCCCTCAGGTAACCAGGGGCCCTCGTAACCAGGGGTCTTTTACCAGGAGTCCTTCAGATAACCAGGGGTCCCTCGGGTAACCAGGGGCCCCTCAGGTAAACAGGGATCCCGTGACCAGGGCCCTCAGGTAACCAGGGGCCCTCAGATAACCAGGGGCCCCTCAGGTGACCAGGGGCCCCTCGGGTAGCCAGGGGGTCCCTTAGACAACCAGGAACCTTTCGGACAACCAGGGGCCCCTCAGATAACCAGGGGCCCCTCAGGTAACTAGGGGTTCTTCAGATAACCAGGGGCTCCTCAGATGACCAGGGGGACCCTCAGGTAACCAAGGGGCCCCTCAGGTAACCAGGGGCTCTCAGGTAGTTAGGGGCCCTCTGTGTTCGTCACTGTGATAGATATCGCTCTTTGATATTAGTTTTTCTTCCGAGTAAAAGACGTTCTGTCTATTACTGGAATAAAGGCAGGGAGACCCAGAACGCCTTCGTCACGCTGATCCCCTGGGCCCTGAGTTATCCTTGGACCTCAGGGGCCCCTGTGGTTCCCCTTGGGTACGTCACTGCACTCAAGTGACCCAAAGGGCCTACTTGTATGTCTGATCCCAAAGGGGGAGGCCATGGCCTCTTGGCCTCCCCCCTGGATACGCCACTGGAGTCTTTTCAATATAACGGAAAAATCTCAGTATGAGCGGCCCGGCCCGGCCCGGCCCGGCCCGGCCCGGCCCGGCCCGGCCCGGCCCGGCCCGGCCTGTAACGCTTTTGAGAGGCTTATATCTCAGCAACCGCTGGACCGATTGGCCTGCGGTCTTTTTTGCTGGGTAGCCCCATCCCTTCTACCCCGTAATTGACTACTTTTGATACACCTCAGTGACCGTCGTGGCACGTGCCACGTGAAAAGTCAAGGGTGTTCAAGCTGTTTTGCAAAAGTAGTGATTTTGAGAGGCTCATATCTCAGCAGCCGGTTGGGCGATTGACTTGCGGTAATTTTTGTAGGGTAGCAGCATCCCTTCTACCAAAAATAGGATACTCCCGATGCATGTGGGTCACCCCCAGTGCACGTGCAAAATACAACAATGAGAGGTGTCAAATTTGTTCCCATTTTAATAACTCGGTAATTACTGGGGCGATTTCGCTGAAACTTTGGCATGCAGGTAGGCACCCACCAGGCAATGTATTCCCATGTGTTGCAGTTAAGGTGCTATTGCACGTGCGCACGTGCGGGGGGCGCTTCCAGATCTCGAGAACGGCTGGGCCGATTGCGCTCAAATTTGGTACACGGTTGGGGACCAGTTAGTAGGGTGCCGTGCAAAAGTCAGTTTGGACCCCGTTTGCACGTGCGCACGTGCAGAATGCCGCTTCCAGATCTCAGGAACGGCTGGGCCGATTGCGTTCAAATTTGGTACACCGGTAGCGACCGGTTAGAAGGGTGCTTTGCGCAAGCCCGTTGGAAGTACCCTCTCGCCTTTCCGCACGTGCAGGGCTCACTATCTCGCTCGCTCGTTCTTCGGCCAAAAGGCGTTTTACTGGTGTCGTATATCATTCGATTCGGCAGGTCTGCCTGAGTCCACTGGTGGCTTTCCCGTCTCGCTAGCTCAATTTGATCGGGAGTTATTGACGAAAAACTAATATGTCCCTAATGACGTCATAAATGACGCCACGCAAGGTCAACATTGCAAAAGTGACGCATCTGACCTTGCAAGGAGTGCATCAAATCACTATTCTGTGTGCTTGAGATAATTGGAGATCGTTCCCGGCACTAGAATAGCAGTTTTCATTTTTCCCATTGACTTATAATGGTGAGGTCACGAAAATGAGCTGACTTCATATGACCTTTAGGGAAAATCCGAGATATAAAAGTTGTGAGACTCCTAATGGATACCAGGTCCTGTAAGTTTCAATTCCCTGTGAAAGCTCCTCTGGCAGTGAGGGCGTTGCGAAGTTGTGACATCTGAAGACCGTGCAGAGGTTCACTGATGACGTCATAGGTCAGTGACCTGACCTGACCTGAAAATGCGAATGGTGTCAAAAGATCTGGCTTGAATCAAAGGTCAGGTATGCCAAGTTTCAGCTCTCTATCGCCAGCGTGTTCGGAGCTATCGCGAAAAAAAAACCCTTTCGGGGGGGGGGGGCACTCGCCCCCCCTCCGCCGGCGAGAGTAAAAATCAAGCGTCAGCATCGCAAGAAGCGTTAAAGGGACTATCCCACCTTTAACATGGGGTTTGAGTTGAGATAGCCAAGTTTGCGGCGAGGTTCAGAAACCACTATCTATCTAGGTTGCAACCCCCGCGGCCTCTTGGTGTTGAAGAATTCGTTCCCTTCATTTGAAAATGGGCCTTGCGCAAGGCCCTATCTTCAACATGGAGCGACCGTTAGTGTGACGTCACCTCGTTTAGTCATTCTGATTTAAATGGGTTTGTTCGTTGAAAAATCGCTTAACCCGCGCACCAACGGGGGGGGGCGGATATCCGCCCCCCCTGAGGTTTTTCGCGGATAGCGGGAAAACCGCGGCGCGTAGCGCCGCGAAATTTTGTACGACTATTCTCTCATCAATTTTACACATGGTGTGAAAGTTTGAACCTCCTAACTTTTAAGGTCAGGTCACCAGGTCACTTTGAATGACCCAACCTCAAGTCACTTTTTTGCAACTTTGTCACCGTGCCAGAGCTGCAGTAGATGTCGGAGGCCTTTGAAAGTCGCAGGATGTTATAAGGTCATTAGTAGCTACAATTTGTATATCTCGGAATTTTGATGTCGGTGACCTAAGGTCAGGTCAATTTCGCGACCTCCCCATTATAAGTCAATGGGGGAAAAATCAACTCCCTGTTTTTACCACTAAAACGGGTCGGAATGGCCCCATATACCATACATGACTTCATATACGATCAACCTTCACTACCTTGAGGTCTGTTTTGCTGTTGGGCAGCTGTAAGGTCATGTGACGTCATCAAAGGTCACCAGCGGTTTTTTGCCAATAACTCCGTACAGGAACAAGGTACAGCCGCGCGGATGGGTTCATTGTGTTCAGCTCGTCAAGACGCATCGAATGATATACATGATGACCTCGAGGTCACGTGACCTGAGGTCAACCTTTGACCTTGACCTTTCGAGGTCAACATATGTATCATTCGATGCGGATTGGCGAGAGGATCACGATGATGCCCTTAGTTTGTTCCTATCTTGACTAATTCGAAAGTTATTCGAGAAAAACTCTCTCCATATCTAGCGCCGCCATTTTGACTTTTTCGACCCCTGTGACGTCATCTTTGACCTGACCTGAAAATGACTTTAGTAAAAATTGTAGACCTTGTCCGTGCGTATCCGATGCCGTTTACCGCTTGTCGCTATCTCGCTTTGTTCTCGAGATCTCAGGGGGGGCGGTCATCCGCCCCCCCCCCGTCGGTGCGAAGTTGGCGCAGACCCCCGTCGGTGCGCGGGTTAAAACTTGGTCTGAACTTTGTTGTGGTGCCTACAGAGTAAAAAGAATCAGCTTTATGACAGTAATGTGGCCTGGGGAAGGAGGTAATTTTGGGCTGTGACGTCACATATTTGAAAGTTTGTGTTTGGAATATGGGAAACCTAAGATGTTTAATGAAAAATAAATGCCAGAACCGTGTTCCTGGTCATCCAATCTATAAAGTCGGGCACAATTTAACTGGTTTTAACAACATTTTAGAAGGTGGGATAGTCCCTTTAAGGTGACCGTTTGCCCCACTCTCCCCTTGTTCTCCCGCAGTGCGGCGAGGGCGCTCTGAGACTGCGGTACGAGGCGCGCGGTGACGACAGCCGGCCGGCGGCGGAGGGAGGAGGACGGACGGCGGAGGGCGGAGGGCCGGCTGCAGATGAGCTCTCCGAGCTCGCCGGGCCGCGGGGGAAGTCCACACGGCTCCCCCAGTGACGAGCCGGCCGAGTCGGCCACCGAGCTGCACCACCTGTCGGCCGGCCACCCGCCGATCGCCGACCGCGCCCAGTTCGACAACGACAAAAGGGCCGTCTACGAGTGAGTACCGAGCCGCGGCGTCCCAGCCCGACTGACTACCGAGTCACTGGACACTGCGTCCGCCCCAGGAATTTACTGGTAACGTACTGATTCACTGCTTCCCACCCCCGTTATAGATGTGATTCACTACCTGGTGCCCGCGGACTGATAAGTAAATGCACTCGCAATATGCACAAAGTATAGGTACTAGCATGCTGTGCTTTTCAGTCTGAATGGCTGCTGCACTCAGTGACCACTTCCCAACTTTTTTTTTGTCAGCAGTTTATAACGCGCATACGATAGCACGTCAACGCTTTCCGCTGATGAGTGATGACATTGTGTACAGCGCGCTTATTCCTTCGTATCAGTCTTCTGACACCTGACTGTGTCGTCTTAGACGGCGGAGCTATGCGCCACGGCAGCACCTACGGGCTTCGTGCTGCTACGCTGCTCATTGCTCAACACTTACTGATGTTATGCCGCAGCCCCTATTTTCTTTAGGAAGCAAAAGAGCTTAAAACGCTAACCGACGAGGGGGGGGGGGGGGTGGTTAAACGCCCCTCCCCCTGAGGTTTTTCGTGAATAGCGGAAAAACTGTGACGCGTAGCGCCGCGAAAGTTGGCAGGACTACTCTCTTATCAATTTTACATATAGTGTGCAAATTTAAATCTCCTACCTTTCAAGGTCAGGTCACCAGGTCACTTCGAATGACCCAACCTCAAACCACTTTTTTGCAACTTTGTCACCGTGTCAGAGCTACAGTAGATGACGGAGGCCCTTGAAAGTCACAGGATGTAATGAGGCCGTTAGTAGCTACGAGTTGTTTTTCTCGGAATTTGGGTATCGATGTCAGGTCAATTTCTTGACCTCCCAATATAAGTTAACGGGGGAAAAATCAACTCTCTGTTTTTCCACTAAAACGCATCGGAATGGCCTAACATACCATAAATGACTTCAGATACGAGCAACCTTGACTACCTTGAGGCCTGTTTTGCTATTGAGGAACTGTAAGGTCATGTGACCTCATCAAAGGTCACCAATTTTTTTTTGTTATTTCTCCTTACAGGAACGAGATACAGCCACACGGATAGTCTCATTGCGCTCAGCTCGTCGAGGTGCATCAAACGATATGCATGATGACCTTGAGGTCACGTGACCTGAGGTCCACCTTTGACCTTGACCTTTCGAGGTCAAAACATATATGATTCGATGCGGACATTTGTTTGTTTCTAGCTTCGCTTCTTCGAAAGTTATTCAAGAAAACCTCCTCATATATAGCGCCGCCATTTTGACTTTTTGACCCCTGTGATGTCATCTTTGACCTGACCTGAAAATGACCACGGTAAAAATGTAGACCTTGTGCTACAAGTTTCGTGTCAATAGGTCTAGTGGTTTAGAATATATTGCAGAAAAACGGAGGTGGGCTCTGCAGAGCCCCCCCCCCCCAGTCATGCGCGGGTTATATCCCTAGTGAAAAAGTCCTTAGGATTTCGCCAGAATCCCCACAATCCTTAAGGATCCATAAGGACCCATATGGATCAGATATGAAATCCTTAAGGATTCTACGGACCCTCTTGAATCCTTAAGGATGCATTCGCCGATCCGTAAGGATTTTAGGACGATGTTTGGTATCCTTAAGGATCGCTCAGTATTCCGCAAGGAAATTGCTAGTGTCGCTTAATCCTTCAGGATAGCCGATGCAGCCAGTACGTCAATCATTATGGAGTGATTGAATCATCCCTAGTATTATTCCGAGCTCCGTATCCGTTAATTTCTTAACCATATGACATATACGGCATGTAAAAACTTTGTGACGGACCAAAGCAGCGTTCGTTATCATCATAGGCGCGGGAACCGGGAGGCGAGAGGGGGGCAGTGGGAGCAGCTTGCCCCCACAACTCTATGGCCGGGGGCACTGCCTCGCCAAATTATGTGCTGCAACTTTGAAATTAAATATTTAGATTTATGGCATTTCTCGATATTGCGAGTGCCAAAACCGGTGATTGTGAGCCAGGGATAACAATTTGGCTATCTTAACTCAGAATTATTAATTAGCTGGGGTGGTCACCTAAGTGACCATCCCACGCTGTCCACGCTCTGATAAAAAGTTCCTATTGGTATCTCAACCAAGTGCCAGACAGTATGCATATCGTATGGCCTTAGTGTCACCGGTGCCACAGTGTATGCGCTGTGCTCTTTCAGAGACCGTACTGACTGGAATTTAGCGACCGCTGACCGTTTTAAAGACTGTACGGGCGGCAGCGGGCGGTCTGATCCTCGCCTCCGGCAAGAGGGGAGACCGCGCGTCCCCCTGTCGCATTGTACCGCTGCCGCTTGCGGGATGCGGACGAGTCTGTTGAGTGTGTTGTGCCGTCTGCCGTCTCCTCTTCGGGCCATGTAAGTTTCTGCCATGCTGTGTATCAATGTGATAATTGATCCTAGTTATTGAATTGATAGATACAAAAACCGGCGTTGAAACGCTCACTTCAATTAATGGCGATCGTCGTCGTCATTCATTTGGCTGCGGCAAATGAAAGTACTACCGGTAGCGTCTTTAAGCGTCACGCCTTGGAACGAGGCCCAGGTAAATATAATAGAATATATTCAGGGTAGTAGGACGTATAGGTGCATATGTGATGCTAAATGAACATACACAGGCATCTAAGCTGGAAATGACTGAACTGAATTTACTCAAAGGCTCACCAATATTCTTTGGCTGGGACTGCAGTCTAAGCCTAAGAGTAGAGTTCGTGAGCCTTTGAGTAGGTACTAGGTATTAATGATCAATATTACTCAATATTACAGTGTGAACTATTACTGTTATTACATAGGAATATCCGCCTTGTTACAGGAACGCAGGATGCGAGACTCGACAGGCGACGGGCGACTCAACCGCTCAAGATGTGTAAAATGTGGATGGCGGAGGAGCGGCGGCCGAGGACGTGTGACGTGATAATATCTGAAGCGTGGCTGACTCGAAAAAGTGTAGACTTATCTTCCTGTAAATATGTTTTTCGGAAGTCCTCGGCTAATATTTCTCGGAGCCTCAGCTGCAACCTGCGAATGCCTAGAGCTCCATATATGTATAGTACCCGGTTGCCTGTGGTTGGCGGCAGCACCATTCCTGGCAATGAAATGGCTAAATGTGCTTGTTTCAAGTAAAAAATATAGCACCAGAGACCGTACAAATGTGTTTGCTTGCTAGGATTTGATCTTTACGGATTTATATATTATTCATTAAGGAATAGCCTCAAAATCCTTGAGGATTATCGCCAACATCTTTAAAGATTTTGCTACCAATCTTTAAGGAAAAACCACAAAGCCCTTAAAGATTATTACCAATGTCCTTAAAGACATTGCTAGAGATCCTTAAGGATTTAGCTAAAAATCCTTACGGATTTTCCGCAGAATCCCTAAGGAATTTCTAACAAAATCCTTAAGGATTGTGTATCAATTTCGTACAAGGATTTTGTTAAGGATCGTCCTGAAGAAATACATAGGATTGTCCTTAAGGATTTTTTCACTAGGGATGGAACATCCCACCTTAACAGTTTTGAGTTGAAACTGCCTACTTGGGGAACCTGGCCTGCAATTGCCGGTTAAGGCAATCACATCATCGAGAAAGGTTTTAATTCCGATATATCTAATTTCAAAGTTGCAGCGCTTTGGATTCAGACCTGGGCTAATGCATTTGAATGCCTCCTCTGAATTTGTGACGACAGCGCAGATTTAGCGATTTTGAAAGCTTATACTAACATCTTTGTGAAGCAGTGGTGGTATATGCTGTTTGTGCGCAACATCTGCCGCACTTTTAAGACTTACCAAACTATTGCTTCCAAATGACGTCGTAGGAACAGCGAAGGCTCCGAAAAATAAACAAAAGTAATTGCCTTATATGTCAAAAACTGGCTAATATTTCTCCACGAAAATTGGTAGATATTCATTTTTGCTGACTCTGAACCATGCAACACCAATCTTATGCCAATTCAATATTTTTTTTTGAAGGTGAGACGGTCCCTTTAATGCAGTAAGACAGTCGCCCGAGGCCGCTGAATAGGTACCCTTACACACCAGATGCCACCCTCTCTGACAAGTTGTGCTCTCCGTCCCGTACACCAGATGCCACCCTCTCTGACGAGTTGTGCTCTCCGTCCCGTACACACCAGATGCCACCCTCTCTGACGAGTTGTGCTCTCCGTCCCGTACAGACCAGATGCCACCCTCTCTGACGAGTTGTGCTCTCCGTCCCGTACACACCAGATGCCACCCTCTCTGACGAGTTGTGCTCCCCGTCCCGTACACCAGATGCCACCCTCTCTGACGAGTTGTGCTCCCCGTCCCGTACACCAGATGCCACCCTCTCTGACGAGTTGTGCTCTCCGTCCCGTACTCACCAGATGCCACCCTCTCTGACGAGTTGTGCTCTCCGTCCCGTACATCAGATGCCACCCTCTGTGACGAGTTGTGCTCTCCGTCCCGTACACCAGATGCCACCCTCTCTGACGAGTTGTGCTCTCCGTCCCGTACACACCAGATGCCACCCTCTCTGACGAGTTGTGCTCTCCGTTCCGTACACCAGATGCCACCCTCTCTGACGAGTTGTGCTCTCCGTTCCGTACACCAGATGCCACCCTCTCTGACGAGTTGTGCTCTCCGTCCCGTACACACCAGATGCCACCCTCTCTGACGAGTTGTGCTCTCCGTCCCTTACACACCAGATGCCACCCTCTCTGACGAGTTGTGCTCTCCGTTCCGTACACCAGATGCCACCCTCTCTGACGAGTTGTGCTCTCCGTCCCGTACACACCAGATGCCACCCTCTCTGACGAGTTGTGCTCTCCGTCCCTTACACACCAGATGCCACCCTCTCTGACGAGTTGTGCTCCCCGTCCCGTACACACCAGATGCCACCCTCTGTGACGAGTTGTGCTCTGCCGTCGCCGGCCGTCCGGCAGGCACCCACTGTTCCCGCTACTCGCGCTGCTCCTGGAGAAGTGTGAGGTGGCTATGCGCTCGGCCGACGGCGGCGTCTCCGACTCCGTGGCCGCCGACGTCCGCGCCTTCGTGCGGCACCAGCACGGCGACCACAAGCTGCTGGCCGCCGCCCGACCCGAGGTCAACCAGCTGGTGCGTACGTCCAGGCCGACGGGCGGGTGGGGGGGGGGGGTGGGGTGGTTGGAGGCTGGTGGGACGGGTGGTGGGAGGCTGGTGGGACGGGTGATGGGAGGCTGGTGGGACGGGTGGTTGGACGGCTAGTGGGAGGGGTGGTGGTACGGCGGGTGGGAGGCTGGTGGGAGGGTACTGAGAAGGCCGGCGCGGTGGGTGGTGGGTGGGTACAGAGAAGGCTGGTGGGACGGCTAGTGGGAGGGGTGGTTGGACGGCTAGTGGGAGGGGTGGTGGTACGGCGGGTGGGAGGGGTGGTGGGACGGCTAGTGGGAGGGGTAGTGGGACGGCTAGTGGGAGGGGTAGTGGGACGGCGGGTGGGTGAGTACTGAGAAGGCTGGTGGGAGGCTGGTGGGAGGCTGGTGTGTGGGTACAGAGAAGGCCGGCGCGATGGCTGGTGTGTGGGCACAGAGAAGGCTCCGGGCGGCTGGGTCGGCCAGCCGGAGCTGCTGAGTCGTGTACAGATGGACGGCAGCGCCGCGGCACCTGCCCGTGCCTCTGACTCGGCCTGCGGTGAGCGGGCGGCCGGCCGCCGCCCCGCGCGCCGCCGCGCCGGCTGACCGCGGCCCGTTCTCTCTGTTCGTCAGATGGTGAAGGCCATCCAGGTGCTGCGCGTCCACCTGCTCGAGCTGGAGAAGGTGCAGGACCTGTGCCGCGACTTCTGCAGCCGCTACATCACCTGTCTGAAGGGCAAGCTGCACAGCGAGAATCTGCTGCGGCCGGACTACGACGAGTCGCCGGCCAGCTCGCCCGGCTCGGCAACGCACCACAGCATCAGCGGCGCCGTCCAGCAGATGGTGCACCAGCACCAGGTCAGTGGTGCACCAACGCCAATTCAGTGGTCGTCGTAGTCCATGTGTGAGGGCTGGTGATGACTGGCAAAAATCGCACCAATTCAGTGGTGGACTCGAAGGCTGAGTCAGGCACAGAGCGTGTGCGACATTGACCGGGCGCCGGAGCTTGTCCTGGGCTATACAGCAGATGCTGCACCCGCCATGTGCCAGTGGTGCAGATCTGACCGGGCGCATTAATCTGCGCCACCGATACGCACATTCGGTTGGTTTATGGTTCGGCGGGCGCTGAACAAACTTTCAACAGCCCGGTTTGCAGCTTCCATGGATTAGGCTCTGCGTAGATGTGCTTAATTTAACTTCGTCGAACTCGGGAAATGTGAGAGTGGGTCAATGCGCTGAATTTTGGCTCACTTTGGGTACGAGCTAATGGGATGCATGATGGCTCAAAACCCGTTTGCGAGGTCCATTGCCACATAAGAGGTGGATTGGATGCAATCATGAGAACGCATCGTAATTGCCACGGGCTAATGTTCTTGTAACACGAACGCAATCAGTGGTGCGACGGAGCCACTCTGAGGTCAGGAACGGTCAAATGCACGCTGCAAGGGCGATAGCTTAGATTTGAATGCATTCTAATTACGTATTTGTAATATTTACATATTTATTTGATGCTGTTAATAACCCTGGTATGGGGCCTGAATCCTACAAATAGTTTCGGTATTTTATCATAATCCATAAGCAGATACTAAAATGTTAAAATAAACCCTCCCAATGATTTTAAGAAGGTGACGTTCATGCATACGAGGGCAGCGCTTTTCGAGGAGCGCTGTGGCCCGAAGGTTTGGACTTTGAATTGTGAAAAACGCCCGCCCGCCGCAAAACGCAAACACCGAAAAACGCGCAAAACGCACGCCCGAAACGCCAACGCAAAGGTCGCAAAAAATAAACAAGCGCCCGCCCGCAGCAAACCGCAAATAAAAAAAACGCAAAAACGCCGCAAAACAATAAAACCGCCCGCATCGCACGCCCGCTAACCGCCAACCGAAAACGCCTAAAAATCGCCCGCCCGCCGCCAAAAGCTAACACCGCAAAAAAAAACGAAAAAGCGGCCGCCAACCGCAAACAAATTTAACACCGCAAACGACGCAAAAAAAAGAAAACCGCCCGCATCGCCCGCCCGCCCGCCCACCGCCAAAGACAAACACCGCAAAAAAAAAACGCCCGCCCGCCGCAAAACGTAAACACCGCAAAACGTGCAAAACGCACGCCCGAAACGCCAACGCAAACGGCGAAGAAAAAAATCGCCCGCCCACCGCAAACCACAAAAAAAAACGCCGAAACGCCTAATAAAAAATAAAACCGCCCGCACCGCACCGACGCTAACTGATAACCGAAAACGACTAAAAGTGGCCCGCCAGCCGCCAAACGCAAACACCGCAAATAAGCGCCCGGCCGCAGCAAGATAATAATTTATCAACGACTGGCATACCGCTAAGTTGGTCATTTTCACAAATCAAAAAGATATCTGCAAAAATCTCCTAGATGAAAGCGCCCGATTTAAAAACGGATGGCACGTGCGTGTTCCTCGCCCCCAACTTCCTTTAGGTCAATCGTCATTTGGGTCACCTAACGCATTGACGACCGGCTGGGTGGAATGAACATTGCGCCAAGAAACGTAAGTATATTGTCAAAAAGAATCCCCAGAATGGTGGATCCCAAAAGTTTGAAACTACCACTTTGACCCACTGGACGACACCTTAAACAGTTGCCGACCGGATGACACCGATTGTTTGGTCACCCACGCCATAGTAGGTATGCATCATGGGTGCGCCGAAATGACCAAAAGTCCAAATTTCCGGTGTGCAGAGGCATTTTCAACAGCACGTGGCACGTGGTTCTGGACTTTTCCGGCCACTTTGCGACATACCCATGGTGGTTGTGCACCGAATGGTGGTTGATCCGCATGGAAGAAAATGGGGGGTCGTTTGGATCGTTTTCGAGCAATCTGCCGTGGAACGCATTTTTCATTTTGCCCATTGGCTTAACACGGGAATTTTCAAAGTCACGTGGCACGTGCACCAGGAGGGGAGACCCATACCAGAACGTAGATCACCTGGCCCACTAGAAATCCTGAAAAAATCAGAATTTTTGGAACAGCCGTTTTCTCGAGCATCAAGTTGTACTGATCTCAGGCAGCTTTTGCCAAATTGTCAGGGAACTCAGATTTGTTTTTCAATAGAAAAACACAATTCTAAAGAATAGTGTTTTGAGTAACAATAGACAAATGTATATATTGAGACGGGTTACACAGCACATTCGGGTGGACGCGTTTCGTCTAAATGACTTTATCGACACCCTCTCGGAAATTAAAACAATACAAACACACAAGAACAAAACTAGCTCAGCAGTCTCACACTCTGTTGAAATATACAACATGCTTAGAATGCGCATTACTACAAATGATTACCTTCGATAAAAACTACTTGTCGGTACACAGCTACACCCGTCTCAATATATACATAGTGTTTTGACTATTGACAACAAACCTTCGGTTATTTAGAATAAGCAATAATTACGGTATATTCATAGAAACGTGCCAAGAAAAGACCGCATTCGCTACCTACATGACGCGTCAGCGTCCAAAGCCTTCCGTCACATTGGCTTTGGACTTTGGAGCGTTACCGCCGCGCCGGCGGGTTCACCGTGCCTGCCGCTGATATGTAAGGACCTGGGCCGGGGCGGTGTGTCCCTGTCACACCGTCAGTACCAGCTCGGTGCATAGGTGCACACTGCACAGTGCACACGCTGCTGCGGTGCCGTGTTAGCGACCCCGCCCCGCTGCACAGTGGCGACCGAGAACGTCCGGCCGGCCCCGCTCGCCGGCGACACCGTTTAGCGGTGTGGCCGTCCGCGGCCCGACCCAGCACTCCCAGGCTGTGCGCGCGCGCAGCTAATCGCCTCTGCAAAGGCAGTTACGGGCCGTAAAATTACACAGAGTGGCAATTTGAGCTCATCAATGCAGGCTAATCACCGCGGAATGGCGCCGCGGCCCCCGGCCCGGCCCCAGCCCGGCCCGGCCCGGCCGGCCGCCGGCCGCCCCTTGTGACAGCTATGATGTGTTTGCGATTTATCGCCGCCAAAATGCCCGGCGCCCGAGGGCCGCGTGTCGTGACAGCTCGCGCGGCCGGCAGTCGCCACGTGCTGATGCACCCCTCGAGACGGTGCACACTGGATCGCAAATAGGGAGATACAGTTTATGTGTTACAGTTTAGTGCGCGAAATCCGCTAGTTGGCAACCCAACTAGGTACGTTGCAAACTACCTGACCGGCCAGGTAGTTTGCAATTTCACTAGTTATTAGAATGCAAACTACCTAGGTATGTTGCAATGAAACTAGTTATGCTACGAAATAGACGGTTCGATGGCAATAATTAAGCTTTAATTCCAATGTTCAGCCGCGGGTTGTTTGAGCGAAGTTCTGTGATGGTCCCAAGATGGTCCCAAGGGTTGCGTTCAACGTTTCTATTGGTTTAACCCGCGCCGGGCCGGTGCCCGGCCAGGGGTGTTTGAACATCCCCTGTAACTTGGCCCCTGAGCCAGGTAGCGACTCGCGGTGAGCGGCATCTGAAAGAGCGTCGAAGATCATGAAGGAAGCACTCGGTCATTTCTCAGGCCAGTTCGAAAGGCGAGTGTACGAATGTCATTACAGGTAAAATTTTGCCAATGTCAGCAGTCAGCATTGTTTCAGATTCAACCTTTGAAGTGACCCGAAAAATGACCGAGTGCTTCCTTGATGATCTGACGCTCTTTCGGATGCCGCTCATCGCGTGTGTGTCGCTACCTGGCTCAGGAGCCAAGTTAGAGGGGGTGTTAATAACCTTGGTCCTAGTAAGTACTTACTGCCAAACAAATGATTATCTTTGACGAGAAGTGGAACTCGCAGGAGAGAGTCGGTCACCAATGGTCGGACGAAGTGAGACAGCGGCCACGGCCACAACATCAGACTCCAGTCGCCGCGGCGGCGCGCTCCCAGAATTGAATGCGGAGACGACGACCGTCCCAGACCCGTTCGGGCCGGGGGACGGTATTGGGGCCGGACCGGACCGGGCCGGAGCCGCGCTGCACTTTGAACGACCAAACTTGGCGGCCGCCCTCCGAATTCTGCCGGCCATACACGGAGCCCCCCGTTGAGTAGCGCCGATAGATTCCCGATATTTCTCCATTGTTTTTATCCTTTCCAACCACTTTTCCACCAATTCGGAATTCTTTCGGAAGTGCTTCTCACACAGAGCGCTGTATGTACAGTCGACTACAGAGTGATGTTCCACTCCTCAGAAGCTATCAGTTGACCGGAGCGCTAGGTTGTGCCGTTTATCACGCAATTAATCGTATCGATTGTGAGCATTGGGACAAAGCTATGATTTGTGAACTCAGCCCGTGTGATGCGGCACAGCCTACCACTCCAGGCAAATGATTGCCTTTGAAAAGTGGAACATCATTCTGTAGTCGACTATACAATATTGTACATACATAGATTGTTGGTAATTGGACTTCGCACTTTCATTAAAACTTGCACATTCCGTTGCGCACGAAATAGCAGACGTTTTCGGCTCGTTGTAGCCTAAATGAAGTTTAACTCATCTTCAGCTGACCATATCCATCCAAATATAATCGGCTTGAATGAGCACTCTGCCAAATGCATAGTTAAATTGTCAAAATGGCGATACCTATCAACTACATGTATGAAATGAACCAGTACCTACTGGCTCTGGACATTCCCTGACAAATGCTGAAAAGTAAGATGCTATCTTGTTAATAATTTTGTGTTCTATCTCTTCTTATATCTTCTTGACTTCTGCTATCTTTTTCTTACGATGCTATCTGCTATCGTACGCAAATCGTGTTCCCAAAAGACTGATTAAAGGTAACCACATTGAACCAAATGGCAAAAACTTGTTCTGGAACTGGACCATGCTCGGCAAAATTTACTATTATTCACTAGGGTTGATGGCAACTAAT